CAGCTGACCCCACACTACCTGCTGAGGGCTTGAGGTCCAGGATGGCGGGGTTCTGGCTTCCCGCGACATGTTCTCTTCAGCCCCAGGCAGGCAGTTCTCTCTCTGGATGATTCAGTGCAGAGACGCCTTCAGAGGAGATGAACTGAATTGAGTCTTGGAGTCCCTCCAAGACTTCATGTTCTTCATCCCTGTATGCTGATAACTGCCCTTTGCACATCCCACCGCCCGTCCTGGCTGCTTCCCACAGCAAGCCTACGAGGCCGAGAAGCCAGGGATTACGATGACGTGGAAAGCCCGCTGGCCGGGAGTGAGAGGGCCAGGTTTGGGGTCCCAGTCCTCCCACTCGTACGCCTCAGAACCCCAGGCAGTAGATCGCCGCCTCCACTGGAGGTGTGACGTCAGGAGACACTGAGATGAAAAACTTTTAGTTTTAGAGATATATATAGAGAGAGTTACCATCTGTTTATGGTGAGTAATATGCATTTCACATAAGTTCCTATATAAAGACATTTATATAAACAGTAGATTTTTTTTAAATTAAAAAAAATTTTTTTATTTTTTTATTTTTTACGCCTACAGCACCTGGTCTTCCTAGGTGGTCTCCCATCCAAGTACTAACCCGGCCCGACCCTGCTTAGCTTCTGAGATCGGACGGGATCGGGCACGTTCAGATAAACAGTAGATTTAAATAAAATATTAAATAGGAGACCAAGCTATATGCGGTTATGGCGAAAATCATGAAGGAAGCCTAGGGGAGAATGTTTGGGAAACAGGGAGAAATCTAACCTCTCAGATCCCTAGCTCCTCCTCCATTAAGTGGGGATACCTCCCGCCCCGCCAGCCTCCCGGGGTGATTATGGGATCAGATCCGTTCGTGTTGAGGGAAGGACAAGTGCAAAGCACATGGGAGGGAGTGATCACTGTGCAGAATCCGAATCCGAAGCACAAAAGGCTGGCGAGTCTGCCCAGAGTCGCGTGGCTGAGTTCGCCGGCTTGGACTGCAGGCCAGGTCTCCAGACTACAGCGAGCGGCTAGTCACAGACACCAGGAGGGTGCCCGGCGATGGCATCCAGCTCTAGTACAGGGAGGGAGCGAGCCACAGGCTGGTTTCAACAGTGGCAACTGAGACTAAAGTTTGACATGAAGGAAATCTTTAGAATGAAACATTTCGAGACCCGGGAGATGCAGTAGGGTGGGAGACGGACTTTGGGGGCTGTGTGGATGCTGGGAGGGCGGGGAGACGGTTCACGGCCTTTCTCAGAAAGGATTCTGGGATATGCTTAGAAAGGGTTTTATGTTTGATGGTGGAGCAGGTTAGGTGTGTGTGCGTGTGTTTGTGTGTGTGTGTGTGAGAGAGAGAGAGGGGAAACTGAGATTGAGATTGAGGTGGTGGAGAAAGATGGAGGTGGCTGTTAGATCTGTTCCCACTCAAAGTGAGCGGGGTACGATTTGGTCCCATCCCGAGGAAGGACCTGAGGCTCCGAGGCACTGGGAGGCCAGAGAGGCGGTCGGCAGGCCCCAGCTGAGGCTGGGTGTCGGTGCTGATCGTTTCTAGCTGGGGCTCTCTCTGTCTCGGCCCCGCTGCTGGGCTCCCTCCCACCCCACACCGCGCTCCCCTCTCCCTTTTGGGTTCCTGAGGTAGAGAAACCCTGGGATCCGAGAAGGTCCCACGCTCTGGACAAGACAGCAGCTTGCCCCCTGGCTCTCTCTTGGGGTGACATCATCCCCCTTGGGGTGGGAAAGGCAGCTCCCTCCCAGTCAAGACCCAGCGGATACTCCAGCCTCCCACCCCTGACGGCCTCGAGGTTTCCCACACTCGCTTCCTTTCGTTCTCGTTCTCATCCGGCTCACAGCTGTCTCCTCGCCTTCCATGTCAGCCCCCCTTGGCATGAGGATGGGCAGGAGGATGCCAAGACTTCCTTTTCCTTCCCCTTTCCTTCCTCTGCGAGGGGACGGGGCAGGGAGAGAAGGGACACACAGGACAAGAGATGTGTTCCCCCTGGATCGGACCAGATCGATGAATGGAATCCAGCCATTACTGTGCGTTAAGGTTCGCTGAGCAAGAAATGTCCTGGAATTCTTAAAAAGTCTTCAATTAAGATAAGAGCCCAAATTCACTTCTAGGCCACACGTAAATACATACTACCTCACCTAATCTGCCCAAAGCTGTGTGAGGCAGGAACTCTTATTCCCATTTTAAAGAATGGAGAAATTAAAAAACAAAACAGAATTTATATAACCTGCCCAGATCACACAGCTATTACGTGGTAGAGCTGGAATTTGAACTCTCTTCCATTTGTCTCTAGAACCCAAGATCTTCACCAACACAGACTATCATTCTCCATATGGGTATAACTTCAGCTCTTGTTTACTTAAATGGGGCCTCTGTTTTATGGGCTGCCCTGAAGTCACACTTACCCACACATGCATTCTCACTGGAAAATGCTACGAAATGTCAGCATTATTTCTTAAGGATTTTTCCATATTGGAAGCGATTGAATGGGGTCATTTCATTCTTCCCACTGCCTCTGACCTGGACTGTGGTGGGCCTTCTGGAAGGAAGCCAGCTCAGACTCCTTGCTTCTTGACGAAACGAAACCTTGCAATATGTCCCAGACTGTCTCTGCCCGTGTCGTGAGTTACAGTTCCGAAAGCAGCAAGCAGTCTGGAGGGGCGATGTGGGGCGCTCGTGGCACTCGTTTTATAATCTGTGTGTTTGCAGCGAGCGCAGGGCGATGGCTAGGTTCTGGAGAGACGGAGCAATGCGTAGATCTCAGTCCGTCCCTCAGGTAGAGGATGCTCGGTGAATGCTGCCTGAGTGACTGAGCACCAACACCTGGAGGAGCTGGGGTGGGGACAGGAGTGGCAGGACAAAGGGAAGAGCATTTTAAGTCTGCAGAAGAGGTGCTGATGACGGGGGCGGGGGCGTGGGGCACACACATGCGTTCCCAGTGATGAGAGCCACAACAAGAGGTGTGTGCGGGTGGCCGGAGGGCCTTTGAGGAGGCTTCTGCATTTCGGGATGGAAAGGCTGAAGCTAGACACATGGAGACAGGAACGGGGCGGTTGGGTGGAAAAGCCAAAAATGACCCAGTGGCTCCAGGTTGGGGCGAGGAGGAAAGTGTAGGGGGAGGCTGTGGGAACCAGGAAGTCAAAGAAGCAGTTTGCCGAGAAGGGACCTTGAGGAATTCGGTTTGGGGCTTAGTGTCTCCTCTGCCTCCCTTTGGGTCTTCTCAAGCCGAAGAAGCCGGGGCGGGGGCGTCCGCAAGCACAGCCACCTCACGGCTGTGTCTCTTGCAGCTGCCACTCCAGTGAGCCGAGCTTGCCCAGGCAGCCTGGAATCGCCACTGCTTCTTGCCCTGTCTCGGGGGAGCTGTGGAATATGGGCAGGTCCCCACTCAGCAAGGCCCCTGTGCCCCCAGGGACAGTCAGTTCTCCATTGTCATTAGTGCTGATAGCTTAAGAGAGCCTGGCCCAGGCCACCACCCTGCTGGGGCTGGGGATGGCAGGGGTGGGGTTGACCCTGAAGCCTGAGAGGGTCAGCTGCCCAGTGCAGCCCTGAAGAGCCTCTGTGCCCGCCCTCCCCTCCCCTCCACCCCTCCACCCGGAGGGCTTAGCTCTGTGCATGAGGACAGGCTGGGAGGTAAGATGATCCCCACGGGGCTCTGGGGGGCTTAAGAAACAGATGGTCCCCGCATAGGAGGTTTGCTGCTGGTAACCTGAGCAGATCTGGGGAGGGAGCTGGCAGGACCAAGGCAGCTTGGGCCCGAGGACCGAACCTCGTGAATGCTATCAGACGAAGCATCCCCTGCCCAGCCTCCAAACTCGGCCCTCGCCCAAGTCAATCGCTCAGCCCCTTCCAGCTGGCACCTGGGACTCGAGCCTTAGACACCCACAAAGGGGCCCGGGAGCTGGCCTCCAGTGTCCCCGCTCCCGGCCAGGGCAGCAGCTCCGATTGGGCTGAGAAGGCAGGGAGGGCACTGGAGCCAAGCCTGAGAGCAGCTGGGAGGGGACGGGCGTTTGGAAGGGAGAGAAGGGCTGGGAAGAGCCGGGCAAGGGCTTCCGCAAACGGGAGCTTGCTGGCCTCCTCTCCCGGGGACCAGCCAGATGTGAACAGCGGCGAAAGGAAACGCCAGCCTTCCCGTTCTCACAGCGAATCTCAGCTCCTCTTGCCCCAGGGTCCTTCTCAGCCCGGTGCCACTGCCAGTGGTCTCGAGCAGGGCTTGGTACTTAGGCCTCTGGCATTCGGAGCGAGATGACCTGGTTTCAAGCCCAGCTCTGTGAGCCGTGTGACCTTAGCAAGTTACCTCACCCTCCTCCCATGGCTACCTCATTTGTTCATATGAGGACAGTAATAGCAACCCCAGAGGGTTTACATAAAGATTAGATGAGATGAAGTGTGTAGAGTCCTTAGCACAACTACTGTTACGTAGTAAATTCTCACAAAATGTTGCTGCCCTCGTCGTCGTCATCACCATTTCAGGGAGGCTCAGAGGAGGAAGAGGGCACAGACGCAGACGATGACAAGGACGTTCTGTCCACACCACAGCTCTGTGCACCCTCATGCTGATCTCAGCTCCACCTCTTACTGTCTGCGTAATCTTGAGCAAGTTACGTACGTGCCCCAGTTTCCTCATCTGTAAAGCGGGAACGGTGATAGTCACCCCTTCAGAGAGTAGTTGGGGAGAGAAAACGTAGGTTAATTTGTACACACGCATCTGTCCGCACGTCGGTGGCGGGCAGGGCAGTGCCTGCCGTGGCACATTAGCCGCCGTGAATGTTGTTTCCCTTATGCAGCCATCTCCGCCTTAGACGTCGCCCTCTCCCAGCTCTGGTCTGCACTGTGCTGGGCCCTACAGAGGCGGGGTCAGTGGCAGGTTGGAATGTCCTCGGAGATGTGTGTTTGGAGAGGGGGGGTCTAGGTTCAGGGCCAGTGGGGGGCTGCCCTTCCGCCCACCCCACGGCTGACGGGCCCTGTGCTCTCTCTCTCTCTGGGGCAGATGTCCATGAAGGAAGTGGGAGATGGCTTACAGGATCAGATGAACTGCATGATGGGGGCGCTGCAGGAACTGAAGCTCCTCCAGGTGCAGACGGCACTGGAGCAGCTGGAGATCTCTGGAGGGGGTCCTGCCCCTGGCTGCTCTGCAAGTCCCCGGACACAGCCCCCACCCCCTCAGTGGGAGGGTGGCGGAGGCCCTGCCAGGCCTGCCGCCCGCCCCACGTCCAGCCAGCCTTCCGTGGGCAGCAGCGCCAAGCCGCCAGCTCACAGAGGTGTGTGTGGGAGGGATCCAGCCTCCCGGCCCAGGACACAGCCGCCAGAGCACCCAAGCCAGGCCCTGCAGGGGCCGGAGCTGGTGGAACCGGATGACTGGACCTCCACGTTGATGTCCCGGGGGCGGAATCGACAGCCTCTGGTGCTGGGTGACAACGTTTTCGCGGACCTGGTGGGCAACTGGCTGGACTTGCCGGAACTGGAGAAGGGTGGGGAGAGGGGTGAGACCGGGGAGGGAGGAGAGCCCAGTGCGGAGCGGGGCCAGCCCTGGGAGCTGGGCCGCCGGTTTGCCCTGACCGCAAACATCTTCAGGAAGCTCCTGCGCAGTGTGCGTCCCGACCGCGACCGGCTGCTGAAGGAGAAGCCGGGCTGGGCGACACCCACGGCCTCGGAGCCCCGCGCCGGACGCTCGCAGAAGGTTAAGAAGCGGGGCCACTCCAAGGGCTCCGGCCGCTTCCCTTCCCCGGGCTGCCCAGGGCCCAGGCCGGGGGAAGGCCCTTCCACCAGCCGCCCCCGGGCCCGGGGAGCCTCACCCTCTGGCTTCGATATCAACACAGCCGTCTGGGTCTGAATCCTAGGGACAGAGTTTCGCTGAACCCGAAAGGGCCAGGTCCCAGTGCCGGGCCCCTGGGGGGGAGGGTGGTCAGGTGACACGTGGCTTTCAGAGGCCTAACTCCAGGTCTCTTTCCCCCAAAGGAGGGAAAGGAAGCCAGAGAAAGGAGCAGGGCGGATAGGCCTGAGGTTGGGAGGGAGGCTGTGACCGGGGTGGCCACCGGGTGGGGGAGGTGAGTGCATGTGCGTGCGTGCGTAAGTGTGTGCGTGCGTGTGCGTGCGTGCGTGCGTGTGTGTGTGTGTGTGTGTGTGTGTGTGTGTATGTGTCTCACTCTGAGGCTGGAAGTGACAGCAGAGGAGAGGGCAGGAAACCTTTCTGCCCTCCTTCACCGCCCCCAAAGACCTCCTTTCAGCATTCTGCACAGATCAGGACACTGGGGCCTCAGGTACCCCCAAAAGGCTCCCAGTAAAGACCTTATCTCCGTCCCCAGCTTTATAACTGTCTGCTACCCTGGCAAAGCGCTGCTCGGGGCATAGGTATTGAACCCCAGCCTCCTGGGAGGCAGAGCAGCAGAGAGGCAAATCTACTGCCCTCCCATACCTGTTCCTGGTACCTTTAAGATTTCAGCCAGTACCTGGATCCTGAGAAATGGCTGAATAAGGAGCATAGGTTTAAGGAGTGCTTGGGACAGCCCTGATATCTTTCCAAAAACACAGGGATGATATCTGTATAGCACTTTAAACGCTGGCAAGCCTTTCCATATCCATAATCGCCTTTGTAAGTGGGCAAGTAAGGCAGGTGTTATCCCCACTTTCCAGATGAGGAAGCGGCCCGCAGTGCTACCTGTCCAGGGACACGACGTTGACGGGGCAGGAAGCAGCCCAGTCCAGGGCTGACTGAGAGCGCAGCTGGGCCTTGGACTCACACAGGGTCCTCCCCAACACCCTGTCTCCAGTCCTGAACCCCCACCCGACACAAGGAGGCCAAGGCGTGCCCAGATGAGATGAGCACTCGTTTCCAAATTCCTAAATTCCTAGCTCCACATCTGACCTCCCTCTGCACCACGGCACAGCCATGGGCCTCGTCTTTCCACCTGACCCAGAACTAGTCTGGGGGAGGGAAGGGGAAGGGCCTGGGCAGCAGCTCAGCTCCTGCAGCAGTGGTGGCGGGCGCGACGCCACCCCGGCGGCCCCCCTGGAAGCCACCAGCCTGCCTACTCTGGCCTGGAACGCCCCACTGGCTGGGAAAAGACAATGTAGGTCCCTGTTCCAGCGAGCCAGCCTGGGAGGACACACCCTCTCTCTTCCCCTCACCCCTCCTGGCTGATCTTCCCTCTGCCTGATGGGGGGTGACAGCTGCAATTAGAGGCAAGACGCCTTCCTGCCCTCAGAGCATTAATAGCAAACTGGAGAAGAAAAATAACAAGAAAGGCTCTTCCTGCATCCTGGACCCCCTGGGGCGGAGATGGAGGGAGGGGGCTTAGAGTGAGCAGCTCCACAGCTCGAGTTAGGGGTGGTCAGGGTCGCTCCCAAATTCCTACTCAATCACATGGTAGATGTTTGGGTTTTGGTGGCCGAAGCTACAAGGGGAAAGGCGCTAATTTTTTTTTGAGAACTCATTATTTGACAGGCAGTACACACAACATGTCTTTCAGACTTCAGAACGATCCTAAAAGGTATTGTCATCGTCCTCTTAGCAAATAAAAAGACCAGGATTTGAAACAGCCTTCTCCAAAAACGCTGTCCTTTCCTCTGCTCCCCTCCGTGGAGTTTGCCAACCGAGCAGCCCTTCCTGGAGGAGCCAACCTGCCCGCCCTTTGTTGTCCCTCCCACAGATTTCAGTCCTGGGGGAGGCCTGTTGGCTGTGGCTGCTTTGGTGGTGGCGGTGATGTGTGCGTGTGTGTGTGTGTGTGTGAGATGTGTGAGTGTGGAGATCCCATCTCTCAGCTGCTGGGCCACCGGGTGCTGGAGAAGCCACCCAGCAAATTGTTCAAGGAGGCACCAGCTTCAAATCGGGAAGGATTCACAGGAAGCAAAATCACCTCCAAGCTGTTCGTCTGTGACTCTTGTTCTGCGCGCTGGCCACAGCCGTTCAGACCAATCAAACAAAACTCGTGAACGCCTCCCAGCGTCACGCATTGCGATAGGAGCTGAGAACAGCCGTGAAGAGGGTCCAGTTCCTGACTCGAGAGCCCAATGGGAAGAAAGCAGCCACTCAACCCACTGGTGAGAAGGATTCATGGGAATGAAAATGCATTTTAACTTTGGCCAGAACAAAACAATTAGGAGTGCCATTTGCTGCCAGCGCCATTGACAGGTGTCGGGCACTGTCATCTCTGTGTTCTTGTTTCCTTCCTGCCACACCTGGAAGAGGTTGCTGTGACTCTTATTCTCATGAAGAGGCTCAGAGAAGTTAAGCAACTTGCACAGGGTCACAGTGGCAGAGCTGGGGTTGAAACAGCTCCGGCTGACCTCCAGGGCTTTGCTTCTCACGCTGCCCCACAGATTGTCAAAATCTGCTCCAAAGCCAAGATGAGACACAATCACAAAACCTGTCCTCCCACGGGACCCAGGCAACGGATAATAAATGGGATACTGCCTTCTGCTGGGGGCTCTTGCCCTGGTCTCGACAGGGCTGATGCATGCCCCGTCACCATGACATGCTTTGCTAATGAAAGCATATGGCCGATTGACTTACCCCCCACTCCCGATAATTTTTCCTTTTCCCTCCCCTTCTGGGCTCCTGCCGTGACAGTGATGGACACTGTATTTACTGAAGCCGAGGGAAGAGGGCAGTGGAAATGCCTGGGGCCTCAGCGATGCAGGAGAGTGTAGGGGTGGGGAGCAGTGCGTGTGACGGGGAGCTAGTAGTAAGTAGAGAGAAATTGACAGCTTAATTCTGCCCCTGGGGCTCATTTTATGGTTAATTAGGACATGTAAATAAGCTGGAAGCTCATTTAATATCCTCCCTGGCACAGGGCCCCGCCTCATACCTGGCCCACTTCCCTGGCAGGTACGGGGCCCCCGATTGGCTCAGGCATCTGCTCAGGGCCCCACCTGCTTCTTTGTGACCCTGTGGCCAGAGTGTGTCTATAGATGTTCCCGGACCACAAGCAGGAGCTAGGAGAGTCCCTGCTGGGCATGGCCGTGGAGCTGCCCAGTGACCCTCCTGCCCCTCTTTCTAGCCCTTCAGACCTGGGGCATCCTCTCTCCCGAAGCACCTTCCCTGCACCCACCCCTCAGGATGAGAGCTGAACTCAAACTTTCCCTGAGGAATAGAAACCTGGTTCAGCTCTCCCCACCACATCCCCCACTCCCTACCCCCCAGAGCCCTGTAGGGGGCGTCCTCTGTCTTTCCCAGGTCACATGACATGACCTAGGGCTTGGGAAAAAGCGAAAGCACAGCCTGTGTGTGGCTTCCAGTCCACCTCAGGTGACTCCCTGCCCAGGGCAGCTAAGGCATTTCCGCTAATGGCACGCGTGAGCACTGGGTTTGGAGTCAGACAGGACATCAGACCCATTGCTGTCACTGTGTGAGCTTGAGCACATTGCTTTTTTAATCTGTGAGTTGGGGATAATGCCGTGAGATTTAAAGGACATAATGCACCTCAGGGTCAAGCACACCATCTAGACAGACGTTCAATATATATATTGGACCACCTGACCTTCAGTTCAGGCACTAACCGGGTGACCCAGGCAAAAATGCCAACAAAAAAAAGCTTTCTGTCTGAGCTTGGTCTCTTCTATTAAAGAACGTACACTGGCCCTATTACCTCACAGGATGTAGCAAGGATCAGAGAAGACAATAGGTGTGGATGTGTTTTTGTACAGTGTAAAAATATTATCCAGATGGGCTGTTATTTGCCAAATAGCAAACAGTTTACACTTTTCCACTGGCCAATGATGACAGGTGTGTGTGTGTGTGTTGAAGGGTGGGTGGGGCATGGAGAGTGTGCACTGGCTGAGGATGTGCTCTGGGGGGCCCCCCACCCCTCTTGCACCCCAGCTCTCCCTCACACCAGCAGGGCCCTCACGATCCTGGCAGGGACTAGAGAGTTGGGTGAGCCAAGTTCTGACGGGTTTAGAAGCCAGGCCTCCATCTGCTCTCTGCTCTAAGGCCTTTTCTCTGGAGTCCCTGCCAGGCCCCACATCTCTCCCTGCCTCCCTGGGGGCTCATGGCCCACAGGGGCTTGTGGCTGTCCTGGATTCCACTCCCTCTGGATGGCATGGTGGAGGGAGGCGTCCATGAACTTGCCCCCATGAGCAGTCTCAGGGCTCAGGCTGGTGCTACCAGATGAAGGGTGATGGACCAGAGGGGCCTCCCCAACCTGGGGAGGAAAGAGCAGGACCTCACACTGCAGGCACCCCCTCAGCACTGTTATTAAATGTCTCCTGCCCTGCCCCACTTCAGCCTTCTCTACCCGACCCTTAAAACAAGGTGATGAAACCTCTCTCCCAGATCCCCTCGGTACCGGGCAGAGGACTCACCTCCCGCTTCTCTCCCTGCACCCTCCCTCAGTCCCAACATATCCACCTCCCACCTCCAGCCCCGGATATACACCCCGAATTCTGGCACCGTGATGAAGTCAGGCTTGCCAATGTCCCTGAAACACTGGGCAGAGAAGGGAGCAGTATTGCCAGCTCCATACCACGTCTCGGCCACAGATGCTGCACATCCTGGCTTCCACTCCACAGCTGCCCCCTCTCAATACGCCCCTCTGAGCACGTCCTTCAAGATGACTGCCCGTTTCAGGGACATAGAACTCACTGCCAAAAGTTACCTCCTGATGCTCTGCACCTCCACCCCCGCCCCCGCCCCAGCTTCCTCCAACCGGCCAGGGAGGGTGGTGCAGGCACAGATGCCACCCGCACCTGGTCTGAGGCTGCTTTGAGGCAGAAGATGTCCCCATCCAAGGGAAGAATCAGGTTTTGTCTCCCGCTCTGCACACGTTACTCCCTGTGGCTGCTTTTCCCTTTCCTCCTGTGCTTCTCCGTCAGCCCTGACCAAGGCCGGAGCCTGCAGCCGCAGGGAAGTGCTGGCTGGGGTCTTTGGGAGCACAGGAGGTGAAGGGAGAAATGTCTTAGAGATCCTGTGACTTCTCCACTCAGCCAATCTTCCCCAGTCATCCCCAGCTGCCTGGAGGCCCAGCTCTGCCCACTTAAGACACTAATGGGCACTTCGCGCCCTCCACTCGACCCTCCACTTCGTAAGCCTGGGGTTTTTTATGCCTGTAAGTCTCTGCATCTACTGCTTCCTGAAGACTCCAGCTCCCCCACCGCCTCGGGACTGGCTGACTGGTACTTACCTTTTGATCTGCAGTTTAAAGGGCATCTCTGGGAAGCCCTCCCCAGGGGCCTTAGGGTGCCCAACCACGGGACTTTGTTGCTCTTGTGCATGCTGATCTTCCCCTCTGGACTGAGCGCCCCCAGGGAGTAATTGGTGACCTCTCAGTTCTGTATCTGCTGCTCTGGGCACAGGGCACTCAGTGTGACCTCCAGCCGAGGGAGTCCTCGGCTGAGCCTGCCTCCTGCTTTGGGTAAGACCAGCAGCCAAGGCCTCCTCGGCTGCCTCCCAGGCCCATGTTCACTCCACACCTCAGCCCACTCCCCAGGAGAGCAGAGCTGCGGCCAAAGTCACTTTCGAGAGAGCAAACTCTGTCCCTAACCCCCTCTCCAAACTGCTGTGCAGTCCCCTCTGCCCCCGGCCTGTCGCTTGGGCTTCTCTGTCTAGCTTCCTAGGCCAAGGCTGCCTAGAGAGCTTTGGTCCTCATCCCTCCCACCCAGCTCCCTGTTCCTGGGGCACTGTCGCTGGGCTGCTCAGAGCTCAGGCCCTCCAGATGATGGCACCCACTTCTCCCTTGCCTGCTCAGCCCCATGTGGGCCCCAGGCTCCATCCTGGAAGACATTGCTTTCGCCCCAGCCTCCATGTTTTCTCCCGTTCTGCTCACTCCCTCTGCAAGGGGCTTCCTGACCTGGCTCATCCCGTCCATTTTGGCAACAGCATCTGGCCCCAGACTTACTCTACCCTAGGAGGCTTATTCAATCTGCAGTGCCAGGGGTCCCCACCCCTACTGGGGACACTGAGTCTGCCAGATTCTCCTTCCCGCATTGTGATTGTGGAGGGGCGAGGCGAGGCGGGGCGGGGCAACAGGGAAGGAAGTGAGAGTTGGGTGTTCAAGCGCCTTCCCTACCTCCAGCCCTGCTACTGGCCACACTCCAAGCATTGTCTCCCAGGGACTGAGGTGCCAGCGAGGGAGCAGGCGTATGGTCATAAGCGTATAAGTGGTGGGAAAGGGAGGGTGTCGGGCATAAATTTTTTTTTAAGCCCCCAAAAACCAACAAAACAAAATCCAAAACAAAAACAAAGCAGAGGATCTTCCGAATGGGGTTAAGTACAGCAACTAAAATAGCTGCAGAGACTCGGCCCCCTGGACAGAGGTGCCAAAGCCGGTCATTTTGTCCCGGACAGCCTCCAAGTACCCAAACTGCCACACCACACGACTGGCCTTGGGAGTCTGCTCCTCCCCATTGGGAGCACCGGGCCAGATTGACGTAAGCAGGTGTTAGAGCCCCTGACCCGAGGTTCCAAGCATCTGTTCAGATAAGTCAGTTTATATCCCAGAAAAAGGGTCAGGCTCTGTAGCAGCGAGAATTCCAGCGCTTCTGGCCCTGGCTTCCGGGCCCTGCTGGGAGTGTAGGGGTAGAAAAACTTCTTTAAACTTTTCCATTACATGTATAGGCTCCCGGGAAAGGCAGGCAGTGCCCAACGCCTAGTCCCAGTTCCAAGTCCCACCTTCCCAACTGGGAAACTGCATGCTTAGCATCCCCCTTAACCCTGGTGGCTCCTTCAAAGTCCCCAACCCATCCGAGTGATGGGAAAGGCAGGGTGGACAGGGGCTGCGGGCGTCTGGTGTGTGCCTCTCCTCCCACCCACGAGGGAAGGCCTGAACGATGGGATCGTGCTGGGAAAGCCGGCACCTACCCAATAGGGGTGCATTACAGAAAAGACCCTGTTACCAGTCTTCTCAGTCAACATGGGGGATCCCCAGGAAGGGCTGGAGGGCTGGAGGGGCGGCTGTCCCATGCTGTGACGTATCAGTGAAGAGAGGAAACCTTGGGAGGTGAGGGTGGGGACTAATATTTACTGTGTGGCCAGCAAGTGCCAAAAACTCTGAGGAGCAGAATCACGTCAGGTGAGGCAGAGGAATAGAGAGAAAAGAGATTTTCCTCTTCGATCCCCTGTAACATCTCTGAGTGCCAAAGTACCAATGCTGGTTCCCGTCTCAACAGAGCTTTCATTTGGGGACGATCACCATACACCTCAAACATCACCTCCACTAGAGACAGGGGGGAAATGAAGTGAGGAATGAAGCCCGGGAAGGCCACTAGCGTCCAAGGGGAGTAACGTGGTGCTGTAATTCCATCCCGGTCAGTGCTGACGTTTCCCCCCTCCTGCCCTCTCCAAGCCGCGCCTGGATGACCGCTACGACACTACTTTGCTTACATCTTCTTTGTGGTACTTTTTACTGGTTCTTTGTGACCGACTAGTCTCTATACCCACCTACTGTCTTCCATTCTGCCACCAGGCCTGCCCTTGTTCCTCCTACCTGGGTCAGCTTCTTTACTTGGATACTAGATTCCAGATTCCATCCATTCTGTCTAGTTTTCCTCAGTGGATCATTTCCATGAGCACACAAACACGCATCGCTTCACCCACTAAATAGAGCAGTCCATGCTTCGTCTCCAAGGTCTTTCCTCCCATTTCCTCTTCCGCCTACTGAAGACACTGCCCACCGCTCTGCCGACAGCCCGTCAGGGTTTGTCAGTGACCTTCATGTTCTTTGCCAATTCCTCTTTACCCCTAACCCCATGATGGAGTTCCTGGACCTCTAGTCCATCCATACTCAACCCTAGTAATCATGTTCAGCTCATGTTCTTAAACAATAAGTATCATCTTCTGTCCAGACCGCTTCCTCTGCTTCTGACTCATACTCAGTCTCCTGCCATCTTCACCCCTCCACAGGCTGTTCTCAACAGGCAGAGTATGCCTGATGGTACGTTGGGTCAGATCACGTTAGATCCTTTTCTGAAATCCTTTCCATGGATCTCACTCAGAAAATGTCGAAGGAAATTCACTCCCTACCCAACTCCACCGAAACCCTACTACTCTCTCTCCCCTGCTCACCCTGCTCCGGCCACACTGGCCTCCTTGCCAGTCCCCCAGCATGCCAGGTAGACGTCCACCTTATGGCGTTTGCAGATCCGTCCCACTGCGCGGAAAGCCATTCTTCCCCACCCCCCAGTTGTAGGGGCTGCATATTCCAAATATTGACGTAAATAGCAACTTCAGCGAGACCTAAACCTTCAACTCACTACCAGATTCCCTGTGCTCAGCACTCCTGCCCTTTTACACAGCTCAACTGTTCCCCAAAGCACTCATCACTCACATGCACGCACGCGCGCACACACACGTCCACAAGGGAAGAATTATTGGTATTTGCCGCTGTATCCCCAAAATGCAGACCAGCACCTGGCATACGGTAGAAGCACAACAGATACTTGCTGACTGGCCCACAATGATCATGCCTTGCTCTGCTTTGTAGGCCCTACAAGAATTTTTACACGGCTAAACTTAAAAGGCTCAAAATAAGAGTCACATCACTGCTTAAAATGGGAAAGTTTATTAAGGTTTATTTTCCTCAAGAGGAACAGTCAAGCCCATGCTTCTTGAGAAGCAATTAGCAGGAAATGTATGTCACACCTCGGGCCCAGAACTATAGGGGGCTTTGACAAGCCGGAGATCGTGCAATGCGCACCCCCAGTTCCCTTTTAAAGCTCTTGTTAATGTCTGCAAAACAGATTCCATGCTGCCTTCCAGGAAAACAGAACCAGGCACCCAGTTCA